TATATATATATATATATTTTATCAGCTTTACATCTTATATATATAATTATATTTTCAAGTTTGACTGTCTTTAATTTTAAATAAAAAATAATTATTTTTTTGATGAACATATTATGCAATATGTTGAATCGATGGGTGTACTAATAAGAGTCCAATGGTAAAATCACATTTGGTAGGGAGGAAATTTTCGTTCTTACATTCTAGGGTTTGTTTGTTATGGTTATGGAGAGGAAGTTTCTCCCATAGGGTCTATTTGGAATGCCAAAAAAATTATTTTTAGAAATTATTTTTTGAATTTTCTGATGTTTGGTACATAACCACTTGGAAAATATAGGTCAACAAAAAATTATTTCAGCAAATAACTCCCAAATAATTTTTTTTTGAAGTTGTTTGCACCCAAACAAAAAGCCTGCGTGTTTTTGTTTGAAACAGGGAACCTAATTTTCCATTAAAAAAAAAAGCATGAAATTCAAACTCAAAACTATTGTATATTATATAAATGTTTGACATGACACGATTTTATATTAGTCGAATCTAATATAACTTTCAATTATTAGTAGTTTAGTACCAAAAAATAATAATAATAAAAGTCAAAATTGATATTTTAGCATTTTTTTTACATAATTCTTGGCTTGCAATCTTTTCCCCACATTTTTGGTATACTTTTTTTTATTGACTAATAAAAGTTTTATTATTAAAAGTACAAGAGATACTCAATCCCATTTTACACACAACCTAACACATACAAAACAGAAAACCATCCAACTTACACAGCAAACACAAATTAAAACACAGAAGGAGGCACAAGTAAAAGGAGCAACAAATGTATGATACACAACCCTCCTCGATTTGATGGTTGTGCTTCTTTGCTACGCACTAGCAGCAAACCAAAACTGTCCCCAAAGCCTCTCAAATTTTTAATCAATTCTTTAGCAAATTAAGACTTTGACTTCTCAACTTCTCAATAGAATCCCGAAATCGCTTCACATCTTTCCTTTAATTTTCTCATCATATTCAACTTTTTATTAAATATGAAAAAAATAATAATCATAACAAAATTTCATTACAAGATTTATTAATTTTAAGTGCAGTTTTTTTTCAATTATTTTCTAATAAAAACCTTTTTAATAAAATTATCCTTTTACCGATACATGCCTAAGGAAAATGTAAAAAAAAAAACAGAAGAAGGATGAAACCTAGGGGTGAGAAGCTCTAAAGATGTGGGACACTGGGGTTAATATATATATATATATAAGGGTTGCCAATGTTGGTCTTAATTATGCTCTCAAATAATGTTGGTTTTTGTCCCTATACTCCATTTTTGTTGGTTCCCTCAACCATTATCAAGAAAAAAATTTGCATAAAAATCAATCAGCTTATAGTACACTAAAAAGTAAAAAGTACAGTATGTTTGGATTTGCTTAGAGGCTTAACTAGCTAATTATTAAGCTTAACTAAATAAGAAGCATCTACCTTCTTATAATTAATTAAAGTTATTTCCTAGCTTTGACCTTGCGTCGCCTACATTTAGATTGGTCTATGTGCCTACATATAGACACACATATTTGATTTGTACTTGAGTTGACGTAAGGAATAAGGAATAGAGTATTCCTTATAATTATTTAACAAAATTTAAATTTGGTTGATCAAAAAGTGATACCAGCTACCAATTTATATTGAGAAAATGAAAACTAAATTGAAGAAAAAATTATCTCAAAGGGGTTAGTCATCCATATAGACGTCTGCCCGCTAGTAGATTCTTGATGACATATTAGGTAACTTTAGGGTTAATAAAGTAATAATGAGGTAATTCTTTGTTAATTCTCTTATTTATACTACAAATAAATCATGCATAACTGAAAATAGGTCACAAATAAAATTGAAAACAATAACAGAGGCATTCCATTCATCATATCACAGAAATTAATTACCACTACAGCAAATACTCTTTTTAAAAGACACTTCAAATTAAAAACTAGTCATAGCAACATTAAAATGAGATTGTTGTAATAAAATAAAAAGAAAAAAGAACGGGGAAAATTCCATTTACTTCCATGTGGTTTGAAGTGGATGTACTTAACCTCTCAAATTATAAAAATGTGCACTAAACTCCTATGTAATTTGAAAATGTGCACTTAACTCTCCAAATTATGAAAATGTGCTCTCAATCCCCTAGTAGTTTGGAAAATGTGTAGTTAACCCTCCAAGTTTATTAATATTGAAGGTAAAAACTCAAAAACACTTGAGCATTAATTGCACATTTTTCCAAACTACAAGGGGATTAAGTGTACATTTTCAAGATTTAGAGGGTTCAGTGCATATTCTAAAACTATATAGAGATTAAGTGAACATTTTTATGACAAAGGGGGTTAAGTGCATTGACCCCAAACCACGTGGGAATAAATGTAATTTCCCCAAAATGAAGACAAAATTAACAAAATTCTAGCAATATGGAAGCCTTTGAATGACTCTCTTCTCTGTTAGTTGGCATTAAGTTCCATCAGGATGGAAGCCAATCTATTGGAGTCCAGCGGTTTCTCAATAAACTCATCAACTCCGGCAGCCAGAAATGCCTTCTCCTCTCTCTCACGTGAGCACGCGGTCACCCCCAACATCTTTGTTTTCACACCCATCGCCCTAATCTGCCGTGTAGTCTGCCACAAAAACATAAGTTTTTTTTTTTTTTTTTTTTGCTTTTTAATTAAAAGTGCCAAAATAATGATATTTTGTAATATATAAGTATAAATGTTTTTACAAATGCATAAAATTTACTATAAAAAATTATTATACAGTCTAGATTACATAATTTAAATTATTAAATAAGAACAAATTTCATTTAACAGTTTTTATTTTGTAATTTAAATGGACTGGTAAAACAAGATTCTCATGTACTAACTTAAGAGATCACACACAATATCTACTTTAATGTTACCAATTTGCTATTTGAGTCGAGCTTAAAAAAAAAAAAAAAAAAAAAGATTATGTCCGCTCAACTAGACTGCTTTTAGAGTAGAGCAGCACTTGAAGTAAGAACAAATTGATACTAATTAAATATCCTTATCTTAATGCAATGAAAATAAAAACTAATGACTAATATACATGCATTAAAAGCGTTAATTTGCTACCTCGAGGCCATTGATCACAGGTAGGATCAAGTCGATGAGAATGAGATCAAATTTTGCACCAGAGGCAAAGAGGTCAATAGCAGCCCTGCCATTGTCGACGCCACAGGTTATGACTCCAAAAGACCGAAGAAGGCCCTGCTCAATCATGTTGCTAGTCGTATCACCATCAACCACAAGCGCAGTCAAGCTGCAGTTTCTCGGTCCTGCCACCATTGATTGCTTTCTACAGGCTCTCTTTAGAATTCAGATGTGAGAAGGGAAATGCATGCTAATGGGCTTTTATAGGAGGAGGCAACCGCCCATGTTTTTCCAGTAGCCAATTGGATTGCCATTTCCAGTGGCAGGGAAGAAAGTTGGATATGGCAAAATCAAGAGATATATGGAAGGGATAATGATAAATGGACCAAAATTTAAAATCAAATTAATAATACGGCATATGTCACGTTATTTAAAATATTAAAAAATCAATTTTATGTTATTTAATGAAAAACTGTTTTAATTTTTTAAATTTATAATATTATATATATTAATTAATTTAATAACATGACAAAAATTACATCATTAGTTTTAAATTTTCATGTTTTCTACCATTACTTATATGGAAAAGTAGTTTGTTAATGATTTTATGAGGCAAGGATAATCTGGTGGTTGGATTTCTTTTCCCATTTTGTTCTAATGCATTAAATTTGCCTATCATTCACGTGGTGAGCGTGTGAGACAACCATCTCCATCCTTTACCTCACTTTATCTGTGTGTCATACGACTCGAACCCAGAATCTCTAACTTTTAGTAAATGAGATAATCATTGAATTATTTAAGTCATTGGCAATATTTCTAAACTTTTTAAAACTCTTTTAGTTGGTTATGACTACTAGGGATATTGTTAAAGTTATTAATATTTTATTTTTCATTTTATTAAATTACTTCTTTATCCACTGAAAAAAAAGATAAAAGTGAAGAGAGCAAAGTTGGAAAGATATGAATTTCCTTAATAAATTGAGTTTGCAAAGAAATAATTTAACGAAACAAAAAGTAGAAAATTGTTGGCCTTAACAATATCTCTAATGATCACAATTGAGGCTAAACTTTCTCTTTGTAAGATTATTTATATATTTTTACATATTAATATTATAATAAAAGAAGGATAAAAGTGATATTTTTAATTTTCATTTTATCTGACGCAATTCTCAACCTATAAACTTTTCTTCTCATATTTTTTGAGGAAATTCTCTTAACTTTTCTTATATATGACTCACTTTAAAACTTTTCCACCAATTTTCCTTATTCTAATTTCTTACCAAATATAACAAACTTAATAATCTAACAAAATTTCACTGCAAAACTTATCAACTTTATGTATAATATTTTCTTAATCACTTTTTCAATAAAAACTTTTCAAGTGTAGTTGACCCTTTAACTAAATAATCCCTTAAATTTAACACTTTACATGCCTTTACCACCTCTTGTTTATCTTATTTATTTATTTATTTATTTATTTATTTTTGGTAGAAACATAAGCTTTTCAAATTTATAAATAAATTATAAACCTATGTTCAAAGTGTTCGTTTTGTAGTTTTTGTAAACAATTATTAACTATTAGCTATAATTGAATGGATTATATACTTTTAGTTATAAATAATAATGATTATTAATTATCAAATATTAATTATTAACTATAACTATATTTGAACCATTAATCTGAACACCCTTCATCTTCCTAGTTCAAATTGTATTTATGATTTACTTACAATGCTTGTTAACGGCAAATCCTCGCAACATGATGTGATAGCAATGTTAATCACAACTAGTAAATTTGATTAGCTCTGCTTTACTTTGTGAAATACAAAAACCGGTATGCATGAACTCGATTGATACCATGCAGCGGTGGAACTACATCGGTAAATGGTTGGTCTCAATTCTCAAACCCTACGTGGGCCTTGAAAAAATTAGAAAATAAGGATATCTAGGCTACTGGAAATGAGAACTAAAGCAAATCTTGAGATTTGAAAAGAGAATCACCTCAATATCAGAGGACCGGTTCGTTATAAAAAATAATAAAATGTACAATCTGCTCACCACTTTTCTGTAAATTTTTATTCGACCGCAAGACATTGGCAAGCAATAAAGGAATCAATAATTATGAAACCGTGCAACTTTAGCCTGTTTCTACCACCGGATGAGCATCAAAATTTCTCCAGAAACCATATTTCTTTTATCAATAAACATACATTGTTATTCAAATGGTGATTACAACATGGCACAATAGTGCAACTTCCTATTTCATTCCCATCAAAAGCACTCTCCCCCAAACCGAACCAACATGAACTGAAAATATACTTCAAAAATCGAAGAAAATGGAATGAAAACAAAGGGAAAAGGAAAATCACCCCTTGAAAATTGCATTCACACAATATACAAGATACACAATAATGAATAAGCCAGCATCCCAAACCCTTAACCTTCCAGCCCAAATGACTCAGCCAGTCATTGGGTAGCATCTATAGGAGTACCTGTCCTTGCCTGTGATATCCGATTAGCATAAATAGTAACCAACCGCAACTGTGTGCTGTTAAGACCCTCCAAGTGCGGCAAAAATGCTTTCCCTAGCATGATATAGATATCCACTAAACAAAACACAACAGTCTGTATCTCCCAACAATAACAAATGATGAAATATAATTAGAAACCAGTAAGATATAAAGAGATGACAAAGGCGGAAACATGAACAACGAAATTTCTGCAACTGAAACTAACATGACCAAAGGAGTATTACCTTGCGTACGTCTGCACTCTGGTTCCCAAAAGCTTCAAAAAGAGCAGGCAAAAATGAAGGCAACTGTGCTGTTAGTTCCTCCTGTGAGAGACGGCCAACAAGCTGCAAAAATTAACAGCAGATATTTCAGTTATGTTGTGCCCATAATTCAAAAAATCTAAGACTGTTTTGAGGGGATTCAAACATATGTTAAACAAAAGAGAGGAAAATCCAATCTCAGATGAAAGGAAAACATTGACTAGAAAAGACAAATAATGAATATGTGACTGAATTCCATTAAATTCTGGATTTTTATCTTGATCGGCAATTAAGCAATGTTACCAACAATGTACAGATCAATGTACTGTGCATCTCAATTTTTCTGCAACATTTTAGTTTTGGAGATAATTTAAAACTAATTAAAAAGAACAGAAATAGAAAAGTGAAATGCATGCGCATGTTAGTTTTGGGCATGCAATATCTTACCTGTCTCAGAACACCATGCTTAACATCACAATCTAACAAGTAATATTTGTGAATAGAGATTACTTACAAAGAATGGTCCCCTAGGAGTTCATAGTATGTTTTAGAAACTATGTCCAAAACATCAATTCAAGAGAACTCATGCTGACAACTCCAATTTTCTCTTTTCAAAACATCTAGTTCTCTAGATAGAACAGCAGCTCTAATGCTGGTGCACATCAGTTCTCAAAACTCCCACAGAGGAATAACATGAATAAAAATATGCAGTTTCTTATTATATTAATATTAGACATTGAAATAGCACCATATATTGAATTTCACATATACCACCATAGACATACCTCCAGCTTGGTCTCAACTAATAGAATTTCATCCAGAAATGTTATAATCTCTAAAATTAACACTTGAAACTCTAATCAATGATCAAGACAAAATTACCTTTGTCAAACAGTTTATGCAAGTAACGAGAGTCTTCTCATCTTCAGTAACCAATAAAGGGACAATAACCTGTGATGCCGTTATTTGCAATATCAAAACCAAGAAAGGAAAGGAGAAGAGAAAGAAAAGAAAAAAGCCAAAAGTCTCTTCACATTTTAGAGAGAATAAAACTACCGATTAGATTTTCAAAAATTAGGAGAGAGATCAGAAACACATACACTTAAACATCTGAAAGGATCATACTGAGACAACACTGAGTTCAAGCAATGCTCAGCTTCATTTGAAACCTATACAAGAAGCGAAAGTGTTGAGATATAAAATAGGAAACTAGAATATATTCAAAGAAAATAATTCAAGTAGAGAGAAATTACTTTGGGAACATCTTTTGTGACATGTAGCAGCTTCTCAATAACTATTTCAACAGAATCTTCCATGGCATCTTTCTAAAAGCATGCAAACCAAAAAGAAACAAAATAAACAACATAATAGAAAGAGAAATCAAGGTACTGTCTTGCTGATTAAAAAAGAAGAAATCAAGGTGATGTCACAAAATAGTTGCATGAAGAAAATATATAGACCTGGCATTTGAGCATTTCAGCTATCAATGACAGGGCAAGTTCCCGGATTGAGGAATCAGAATCATCCAGAACCTCAAGTACTGCTGTCAAAATCTGATTGAAGTACTGCAAGTATTCAACAAACCAGTATTAGTATCAAAATAGATGTACATGAAATAAAGAAAAGCAATAGTTGGCTTGACTTAGTGCATATCATATGTTTGCAAGCCCAGATGTCATAAAGGAAGGAACTTTTCAGCAGAAGGCAGGGTACAAAGGGGGAAAAGGGAAAGGCAGTACATCCACATTGTTTTCAGATGCCACAATGCATTCATATTTGAGGATATTAGCAAAGGAAGACAGTTAATACAGAGATAAACAACCGGAACCAACCATAAATACTTAGACCTTAGGCCCTTAGCAAAGTCCATACAAGAAACTATCTAAGGAAAGTCCCTACAATAAAACTTTCTTAGGGCAGTCCCTCTCAATCCAACATAAAAAAGAGAATTGTAATTCTTTTTACTTCAATACTGATCTGCTTTTCACTTGACCATTTTGTTGACCACATAGCCCAATCACAAATTAAGCAATGTACATACCATAATGGATATACAAATGAGATTCCTGGAAATCATAGCAGTATGACCAAAACCATGAGCAAAAAAAAAGGCAGATATAGCAGCAAGAGAGAATCGGTACATTAAACAAAGATGAGTAAAAAATTAAACAAACTGCTCTTCCACCCTCCAAGGAGCAAATGTACCCATCAAACAAAGATGAGTGCATTAAACAAAGGTATTTATTGATGCTTATTTCCAAAAATGATGTCCTACTAACCATGTGTTCAGTTGTGCACAGAGAAAGAGAATAAAAACTAAATTGATCATACCTTGCTCCAAATTGAGTGATCATTAGCCACAGAAGCTTCAATTAATTGCTGAATTGCACCACGTTTGCTTGCACTGGGGTTCTCATCACTCCCATTGCAGATCTATGAAACACAAAGACTTAATCAAGTGTAAAGTGCTATTAAACTTATTTGAGCTTTGAGAAGTAAAGTGATCTATTTTTTTCCACATAATTTCAATTGGACAAAAAGATTATTATTGAAGGAAAGATCTGGTACAGTTGAACTCACCAGGTGAAGAATGTGAGGAATGCTAGGTCCATTGTCTAGTATAGGGTTAATCTTTGCAGCTGTAGGTTTATGGTGATTAAGGTCCAATTCCAATGAAACATTGTTAATGTGTTCAACCCCTTCAATGAACCTTGTGGAGTCAGATTTCATGAGACCATTGGTGTCCAAACAGGGAGAAGACAAACCCTCCAAGCTTAAACTAGTTTCCTTATTTTCCGGTCTTCCAACTCGATATCCCACATTCTGGCCTGTGGAACCGACCATAAAAGACAGTTCTTTGGATTTGGAAAGAAGAACATCAGGATTCGAACTAGTCTCAAGGTTATGATACAAGTTCTCTTGAGTTTCTTCTGAAGTTGCTTGGCCAAAACTATCTCTGATAAGGGTAGATTCTTGAGTGGAATTCCATTTTCTGCCACCATCACTGTCACTTGAACCACCAGAATACCTTCCAAACAAGTGAGATTTCTTGGGCAAACCAACATATCCGTCTTCAGAAGAAGTTCCAACAACATCAGAAGGATCATAGGATGACTTAGAGCGTTGTTTCTTGTTTTGTAGATAGTTTATCAGGTCCACCTCAATACGTGGAGTGTACTGTTTAAGTGCTCGTCTCAAGGAGTTTTGTTCTTCAACAGATAAGCTAAGAATGAAATTGAGGACAGCAGCTGAATCAAAGTGGGAGTAGACAGATATGATGCATGTAATAGCTGCTTCCTTAAGCTTAGTATTTTTATCATGAACTAATGGTGTTAATTTTGCAAGCCATAACTTCAGGATACCAGTATTACTACAACCATCAGAATTTCCAGCATGCTTGTTGAATGAAGTGATGCCAAACTCAATAACAGCCAATTTGGCCTTTGGTGACCGCTGTTCATCTAGTGAACGCAACAAAGCAGGTAAGAGAGAATCAATGCTATAAGTTTTACTAACAATTTCCAAAGTTGTTGAGCAAGGTTGCCTAACCAACTCCTTAGGATCAATTAACCGTGAGAAAACATGGGGTAAAATCCTTTCCATATAACTTTCAAAGGGCTTTCTGCATGATGGAATAATATCTGCAAGTGTTGAAAGAGCTGCCTGTGCCACTTTATGGTGGGGATCATCCAAGTGCTGAAAGAAAAGCTTCATCACCTTCTCAAAATTCAGGATCACTTCTTGAGTACCTCTGGGGCCTTGCTGAAGCAAAGAACGGAGATAATTGAAAGCAGCTACTCTAGCAGACCAGTCAGAACTTGGACTAAGCCCCTCACTGAGAGCATCACTGAGACATGCTGGCCCTTCTACATAATTTGACATCTCCCCAAGTGACAGCTGGCTATCATCAAAACTCTTTCTCCTGGGTGCAGACATCCTTCCAGCTGTATTCTTTCTCAAAAGTGGTCTCTGAAAGTTGGGAATGTTACTGTTATGTGAATCCCTAATGTTCACATCTCTGTAAGGGGTCTCTATATATTGCCTGTCAACATGTAGGTTCATAAAGCGCCTACCCTCCCTAACATCACTGCTTTCTTCAGCGGAACCACGTTCTTGAAGTCTTTCAGAAGCTCTCTTAGCTAAGTATGATGAAAAAGCTGGCAATGATTCAGTTGCCAAATTACTTCTATAGGATAGTTTACCTGAATCTTTGGAAGCTTGAATTTGCGTGATGATGTCAGACATAACCAGACCACCATTGCGGTTACTATCTTTACTAACAATAGAGGCAGATGATTCTACTGCTAAAGTGCTAGTGAAATTGTCAGAAGCTGGAACAGCAGCTGGAAATGGTGGATCACGAGATGATGGAGGTTCAACTCCTGCACTAGGGGGCAACAAGAGAGAAATTTAGCTGCTCAAACAATCAAACTATAATTCATAAGTTACTTAGCATATAATCACCACATCAATAACTGAACTCAAATTTTGAAACTGCAATTTAATAAAAAACTGAATATAGATATAGAAGGAGCCATTTAATACCTAGATCCAAACTAGATGACCGCAAAGTTGATGGATTCTGTTTGTCTGAGATTTCCAAACCTCTAAGCATGCTTTCAATGGCACTAACTTTCTGTTTGCTTGCATGTAACACACTCTCTAGACTACGCTCAGTACCCTTACCAAGGGACTTTGCTTGTGATAGAAGCAAACCAGAGGACACAGATGTCCCAGAGGATAAACTGGAACTTCTGTCCATTGCAACTATAGCAGAAGTCCCATACCCAGGTAAATTTGAAGATGTTTGTGTGGTAAAGGACATTTGCACATTTCTGTCACGGATGGAAGGAGAAGCATGTCGCCTATGCATTCCTCCATCTTCTTCATTTATTATCTATACAAGAAGTAAACAATTTAATCCACCATTTAGGAAATAAAAAATTTGAAAACATTGGTTGGATAAAGTAGTTATATACCCTTTGAATGACAGGATCAAAGGATGAAAATAAGCGTCGAGAACGGTCCGGCCAAGTTTTTGCAAACATTCTATAGCACATTCTAGCAGTGGATCTTACCTGTTTAATTCCAAACATGTTAGCCACTTATTATGGACTTATAGCATGGTCGCAAAACATAATACAACAAGAAAAGGTACAATATGTGGAGTTCATGTTAAAGCTCCAAGGGATTTTAAACTTGTTTATGAATAAAAAAGGGGCACAGTACCTGTAAATAATAACAATGAACACACTAAAACAAATGTTTCAGATCAGACATCATAAAATTATTCATGCTTATAGATTTAACCATGCATTATAAACCATGTGCAATCTACAAAATGCATAATATTCAACCATATATAAATTCACCACCAGTCCAGTTTACTTTATCCTCCTGGACTCCTTATATGTCCATTATATGTATAATAGGGAAAGAAACCAACAGAAGCATGACTTATGCACAAGAGTTTACAGAACCCAAGCACCTGATAACAAAACACCTTCACCCCATATCAAACATGCAGAGCATCTTGAACTGTGGAAATGGGCAGCAAATGCATGACCTGATTCACCTAAAGTCATAAGAAGAGAAATTCAAGCATAGATACCTCACTCATTGCATCTGCAACACAGCACCTTATTAGGTCTTCATATAAATCAGCTGATTTCTGTATTTCTGGTGCATCAGGCCAATGTTCTAGTATCAACAATGCATACTCACAACACCTGCAAAGCAAAAGGACATATAACAGTGATGAAAAAATAAAAAAAGAAATGAGCAGAAAATTGCACTGTAAAGAAAAGAAACACAGTAATACCTTGCACGGAGGACTGAACTCTTGTCATTCTTTGCACAATCAATTATGCGAGGAAGCACACGGGCAACTTTACAGTTGCGTAACATCTGGAAATTAGGAAAAAAAAAAGAAGAAGAAGAAGAAGAAGAGGAAGAAGGAGGTCAAAGGCAGAAATTAATAATAATAATAATAATAATCAATGAATAAATTACCGTTTTTATGCAATTATCAGCAGACTCTGCAATTACAAGGACAGTGATCACAACCAGCTTGAAAAGGACCTGATTATCATATCACGGAATTAACAAATTCACATAAGAATAAAAAAAGTCACAAAGATTCAGCGAAGAAAAGTTGAGCTTACTGGAATGAATGCCTCAGCACATGCCTCAAAATCTCCCAAGAGCTCTTTTGATAAAAAGCATAACAGATGACAAGCCTAGACAATGGAAAGAAAACTCAGAAAGTCAGAAATGGTTATACTTTCAGCCAAAAAAGAATCGAAGGATTTGAAAGTGATAAAATGGTAAACAAGGGGCTTTCACTTGGGCTCGGGTGGAATATTATGGCCACCACCAGTCATGAGGTGAAAGACAATATGTGTATTGAGCACTTCAAAGGAATACAGGGCAATTACTAGTTCCTTAAATACCTAAGGGCTTCTTAAACTATGTATATATTATATATGCAGTAAATACTGAACTACTGCCTTCTAATCTTCTTTACCCTATAACCCAAATAAGAGATGGAAACAATTATACTAAGTTTACTCCCAATATTTGTTAGAAAAGGGTATATAGCTTCTTATGAGCAGTACATAAACTTCTAAGAAATTTAAACTCAAACATAGAAGCATTGGTAGACTACACAAGCACTTGCCTCTCCTTATGCAACTCCAAGAAAAAACCTCCAACATTTTTTCTACCATGAAAAGTGCATACCAGCTGAATTGATTGGTAAAAGTGATCTACACATGTATTTTGACTATGTCCTAATTTTGTATCTTAACAATTCTCTTACTTCCTTTCAGGGAATAACAATCTTGTAGAAATATCTAAATACCTCAAATTTCATAAAAGCTATAGCTAAAGGCTGCATTTGCTTTTTATACAAGCTAGAACCACTTTAAGCAGTACAATTGGCCTTTGATTTTTAGATTATTTTTCAGGAACATAAAACAGGACCCATAATTCATGTTTATAATAGGTCCCAATATTCTGAGACAAATGAATGAAACTGCCTTGGTTGAAGATTTATGAAGTTTTATTTAAAACCATAAAAACAAAAATAATATACAGAACAACTAAAATAGAAAAGTAAAAAAAGTGGTGAAAAGGAAATTAATATGCTGGACCTTTTTCAAACAATCAAAAACAGTACTCACCTGCTTCACAATGCTAGATCTTCGATCTGATAATTGTGTGCTTAGAGGACCAACAAGGTGCTTCAAGAGACCGCGGAAAGAGGGGTAGTCAGCAGCACCTAATACAAGAAAACACCAAAGATGTTAAAATCACTTCCTCATTTAGAGCAAACATGTAAGATATAGATGAATGCTAGTGTTTGCATTCAATTCCACAAGTCAAACACCAAACCCTCCAAGCCTCAGGCCATACAAGCAGAGCACAAATGTTATACATAAATAAATGGACTGTTGATAGCAATGAGAAGAAGAAAACCTCCAGAAACAAAGCCTTCAACTCTCTGCAGGGCAGCAATGCGGACAGACCAGTCTTTTTCTGGTACAAGAGTAGAAGCAATTTTCTCAATCTCCCTTACTAGTTCCTTTTCTGAGTACACTTTAATTGGTTCTACAGATTTCTCTGTGATCTCACTTTCCCCTGAAAAGATCAATACAGCTACCACTTTAAAACAAGAAATTGGGATGCAAACAGAAATTTTCAAAATTTGCTTTTATGGAGCATACTTTCAATTGCATTGAACTCTTTTACCAATCATCATTGCCAAAAGAAATATAAAAGCATAAAAAGAAATAAAAATGTTTGAAAAGAACCTATCATGCAGAAAGCAGCATTTCATAACAAGTTAATTCACTAACCAAATTTCTTAAAATCTATAAAATTTAGACATGAACACAAACCTCCAAAAATAGATGTCTCCCTTGAAGAACTCTTGGCCCTTGGACTGCTTTTCTTGGTACTTAGGCTAGCAGGTTTCATCTCCCCAGCAGCAAAACTACCTGTAAGCCCATCTGAAGGTCGAATTTGCGGTTCAATTTTCTCTAGTCTAGCATTAATATCTCTCACCTGCAGTTGTATACAGCATTGTCAAAATAACAATAATAGAACTGACTAAATCAAGGGAGACAAACCAAAGCAAACAGAACAAAGAAAAATGAGAGACAGATGAGGGAGGGAGATAAGGTAATTATTCTATTAATTGCAGCAGCAGAAAACTAAGAATCCAAAGGAGAAGCTAACCATTGATGCAGGAAGATTATGGCGGTGAAGTTCATCTCGGAATTGAGATCCAGCCTGCAAATACATTTCCTGAAACAGAAATAGATTAACCTGATCAGAGGCCTGCTCCAAGATATAAAAAAATAAATCAGATGAGCCACAACATCTAACTCCAAGATCACACATGCCAACCAAATATAACAGTGATTGAACCTTTAAATTAGCAAAGAAATACTGCTTCTAGTTACTAGCTCCGTGATCAAAACAAATAAATTTAACAATAGATCAGTCAACAAATCAGAAAAACCAATGAGCTTCATTCATCACAAATCAGATGGCAGTTTTAATGAATTATTATTTAAATGATTAATAACACAAAAAAGCAGCTGCAGCTCTCCAATCATCCACTAGTGAATGTTGCTGAAATCTTTGATAAGAAAATTCCAGGGAGAGCTTGAAAGGAATCCTCAAAACCTTTAAAACTTGAGTCAGAAGAAACCCAGGCATAGAGGATCTTCCTTCAACCACTCCCCACCCAAAAAGAATAAATAAATGTAAAAAATTTTTAATCAAGAACCATGTGATACTGATGATAGATTTGTGGTCAAAATTAAATGGCATGAGATTACACATCAAAGTGCACACAGAATGACAATCCAAGCACACGTTTTAGATTTTACAACTCCAAAAACATAGAAAGATGTCAAGAACATCATGTTCAGTATCCAAGTTTATTTTTCAAATCCCATGTAAAAGAAAAGAATTAAGAAGCTTGACCTCTCAAGTATTCACAGAAGAGACATATAGGCCCAAACAAAACAAGAACCTACAAGTGCATGCCGAGTTATGCTGATCCCACATGCACTTTCAACAAAGAAATGAAGATGAAGAAACAAAGAATTTGGGCTCTATACCATGTTAGAAAAGCAAGTGGACTCAAATACCAAATGAGTATCCAACCTAAAACCATCTGTCTATAGTTATAGTAACCTATACTACATTTAAGTGGACAAGTTTTCCTTCAACTTATAGATATGGGATTCTCCCACTTTAACACTTTCCTCTCTAACCTCGACAGGCAAACATGAATGAGAAAGCTAACCGCTAGAAAATAAACATGTCTTTCAGGAAACAAGTAGCATAAGAGATGCCTTCATAATCTCCCCACCAACTTATCTAACTTAAAACAAAATCCTTTGAAAGCAAGGGGCATATTGCACTAACCTCAATGCACAAGATAGCTGCTTCACGAACACCAGGATTTGAATCATTCAACATCTGCAAAATCTGATAATTGGGGAAAATTTCAAAACATGTAACAACAGATCGAGTGAAACATTAAATCTTTTGCATGATTCAGAAATGGCAATGCTCATACAGGAGGAAGTATAGCCCGCTGAAGAGGAAGTTCAGTAGATGCGAAAAGACTGATAGCTGATGTGACAGTTCGTGCAAATTCCTCTCGAACTCTCCAGCTTTTATGTGTCCAGGCATAAGAACCTGCTCTTTCAACAATGATTGTTGGAGAAGAAACCTGAAGCAAAAAATTTTAGTTCACATATAATTCATTCCAGAAACCTTACAAAGCAGCAACATAAACCCATGAGGTAAGATGAAAAGAGGGGAAATCCAAAGTGCAAGATACAAGAACTCAATAAGTGAGGTGTACTTCCTAATATGGATTGTTTTCCGATTTCAAAGTTGGAATTTTAAATTTATAAGATTACAGGAAGACAAACTCCCTATTCACCAAATTATGCATTAGGGCTGGCTTCACAGAAGCTTTTGGGAGAAGCAAAATACAAGTTTTGACCTTTTATCATTTTATGGTTGAAATTTCATAAATTTTTGGTGGAAACAAAGTTTGCTGGTTTTTTAATAATAATAATAATAATAAAAACAATGTGCAAAAAATTATAAGGCGTTCAAGTGTAAATGATGACATTCATTTTGGGAAATCCACATCAATGTCACATAGAGTAGGACGGAGGGACTGAAGCATAAGAAAATAAAAACTGAAACATCTTATTTGGGACAGAGAAATTATATAGTTTATGCCATTGCCTAGGAGATAAGAGTTCAACACTGAAACAGCAAACATCATAGTTTGAAAACTATTTTTAACTAAACATTGACTGAACATTAAAATAGCCTTATAATTTCCATGAGAAACACGAAAAGTTTAAGCTATCCGCTAGTGCTCAATTGGAAATAAACGCCCATCCATCAAATCTTCTGAGAATATCAAATCTTCTGAGAATTAGTTTTTAAGAGATTTTTCTGTGTAGTAGTTACTTTAAAAGCTGTAACAAAGATAAGAACTTGGCTATCAAATTCACATGCAACTACAATACTGACATGGTCATATGTTGAGTATGCATATCTACAAGGTTCTAGACTGACAAGATTCTCCATGGCACCAAAGATCAAAATTTTCTGTATCAATATCAAGGAAATCACTGATCTCTATCCTCTGTTAAATTCACCAAGGTCTTCAATCCGCAAAAATAGTAAAACCTATCGAAATATTGTTCTAACCAGGTATGAAAAATGGCAGAGTTTTGTACTTCTATTTTATTTAAGCCAGATCCACAAAGCACACTTAAATTTAGTACTTTAAAAGCATTTTCACAAGTTATATTTATTTCCAATCATGCTGATCACATATTTAGCAGTCAGGGAATACATGATTAGAGTACTAGAGCAACAAGATTTATGCCACACTGGAAACACTTAAAACTATCTCAGTCAAACCCCATAAACAGGAATAGAACATGGTAATTTATCCTAAATACAATCAATTGTGTAAACAAAAAGTCATGTTAGAGGACAACACAATTAACTGCATTCCCATCAGTATCTTGAAGCTTCAATGCTTTAGAAATATGTCAGTAATTCTACTAAACTATAGTAATTTGCCCTCAGTGCAAAACTGGGCAATTCAAATTCAATTGCTGCTAAATAAACAAAGACATAGAGAAGTCATACCTCCATGAGAGTGAGCAGGAGGCGTCTAGCAGCATCTCTTACAGGCTGTTTGGCATCTCCTAACCGCTCTACTACAGCCGGGACAAGCGCGTTAAAGTGCAGCTTTAAATGGTCACCAGAAAGCACAGCAGCAGAGGCAAGGGCCTGGAGAGCACCCTGAGAGACTCTAAAGTTGTTGTCCTTGAGAAGATCCAAGCAACAATCAACCAGAGAAGTGACCTCAGTAGAACTCAGACTCTTCCTGGAAGCTTCAAGGAGTTGGTGCAGGCGCTCCACCGCCGCCATTCGCTCCTTGGTGTCCTTTGTACGCGCCTGCTCCAATGCCTCCTCCATCTGAACTCCGATCTGGTCCGCCTGATCTCAGATCTGAACAATATTCTCAATCAGTCTCAACAACCAAAATGCAGATTGCCTTCGCGATCACTTACCGAGAGAAGTAACGCAGTAAGTGGGGTAATTTAATGCCGGCTGAGCGGCGGCGTTGTTGGTGGCGAAGTGAGACTGAGAGAGATTTGGCGGAGGAGTGCCGCTTAATTTAGCGGAGCGAGAGAGAGAGGGAGAGAGAGAGAGAGAAGCGGGAGAGAGTAAAGTGAGCTGGGATTGACGAGGAAGATGATAGAAAGATGTGGTTGTGGAGTAGTTAGGAAATTCACCCTGAAGTTAGCGTTAATTAACGCTTTCTACCACCGCATGTCCCTGCATCTTCTGACACCCTTCGGTGCGTACTATTTAACCGTTTGATTCGATTGGAAATTGAAGAATCAAAGAAATTTTTTTTTTTTTTCCTCTTGTTTCTCGTCTCTCATTAGTTTTATTAGCTATTATTTAGGTTAAATCCCCATTTAGTCCCTTTACTTTAGTAAAAAATTATTTTTTAGTCCCTTTATTTAAAAAATTCTTTTTTAATCCCTAAAATTTGAAATTTGACTTTTTTGTAGTCTTTTCACTAAATTTTGAATATATACAAACGTTAGATAATGAAAATTTTAAAATAGAAGAGTTAAAAAAAAAGACTAAAAAGAGGTTAAAATAACCCCAATTTGATCCTTTACATAAAAAAAAAAATTTTTTGAATCCTTTCCTTTGAAATTTTTGTTATTTAACATTAAAATTTAACAAAAATATTAAAAATGAACTAAATTTCAAACTTTAAGAATTCAAAAGGGACATTTTTAAGTAAAAGGACTAAATTTTTTTTTTTTCTAAAATAGAGGGAACAAGTTGGAGTTTTAACCTATTATTTATTATGATATACTTCCTATTCAGGACATAAACACTTTTTTAAAGTTTTTTCAACTAGCCCTCAAACTTCATTTTTGAACCAATTAAGCTCTTGTACAGTAGTCAATGCAGAAGCTAAGGATTGAATCCACCAATAAATTTTATAGGTTAGATTCAAAATTTAAGTTTTTGAGTCAACACTTATAAAAATTAATTTCTTTAAATATTTTAAATTGATATAGATTATATCTTTAAAGCCACTCAATAAAAGTAGTTTCAAATTGTGCAAAAATTAATCAAAGACATTGATTAGTGTAATATGATCAACTAATAGCAAGGTTAATAAAATAAATAAGATGAGTTGTCATCTCATCTTACTAAAGCACAATAGCTTCTTAATTTATAAGAAAGTGGACAACACATGATAATATTAAAAAAGAATTCACTATTGCATGATAAGTTAGCAAAAGAATTACTTAACTCTTGTCTATCTTTTGAGGTAATATTGTGATTTTTGAGCCTACATGGAAATTAACATGACAATGTTAGAAAAGAAAGAAAAACCTACCATTTTTTTATGAGACTCACATAAATTAACCTTTTTTCTCATCAAATATTATCTTGTTAGCTTCTTTTTAAGTTGAAAAGATTGACTAAATAAGACTTTAACGGAGAGAAAACTATAGTATAGGACTTTATTTTGGATTAGGTATGGTATGGGACTTAGCCAAAAATAAGTTAGAGTGATCAATTGAGAAAGCAACATACATGAGCAAGTAAATTGAGGATTATTTATTTCCTATGTTAGTCATTAAAAGAGTGAAAAACAATGGGAGCTAAATTCGGTATTAGATGTATCAAGATAAATTAGTTTGAAATTTAAGAATGCCAAGTCATGTTGTATGAGTCATGAGGTTACCTTGGCTTCAAATTAATGCAAAAACTCTTAGATTTTTTTTTTTTTTTTTGGGGAACATACAAAACTCTTTGCTTATAAATTTAACTAATCTTTCAAATCACCAAAGCAAAGAAAAAAAATAAATAAAAAGAACTTATTCTCTTCCATTAATTAAGGCAAAAATTAACAAGCTTCCACTATAAAAATACATGCCTTTACCATATTTTATTTTCAGAATACCATTAGTCTGCTTCCGCTTAAAAATATTGTAAAGACAAAAATCATTAATAAACCTTCATATAATTTTTTTATTGAGATTCATGTTTTTTGATTGGATGACATAATGAAAGGTGTGCAGAAATTATTAAAATATTATTAAAAAATTTTAAATATTTTAATAAATTTATAGGTTTAATTTTACAACTTGATTTACTAAGGATATTTTCAATTTTTTAAAGTTAAACAGATGTTTTTAAGGGTAAAAAAAAAAAAAAAACCTTTTCTATTTACTTATTCTTCTGTCTTGATGAATATGCTTGCGTCCAGTTTAATAAAGAAAGTTATTGGTATATTTCTTAATTTAACATATTTATCAATATTTATTAATTTAATTATTAAATTTTGTAATTTTATTTGTTTATTTATTGATTTTTTGCCTTAGCTAACTTCCAAAGGAGTTTTTCAAGTTGTAAAAGAATTTAAGATTCTTATTAAATTAAAAATCTCAAGTTCAACCTCAATTATAAATGAAAAAAAAAAATTTAAAAAAAATTTTATCTTATATCATAAACTTGTATGTTATTACTGGTAACTTGCAAAAATATACACTATTTTTGTCTTCTTGTTTTTTTTTTAAAAAAAAACTTTTCGCAGTAAAGACAAGGTTGATTGAATTCCATGATACATTAATTTAACACATTAATTTAACTGACATCTACCAGTAATTCTACAATGAATAATTATCGTTTGACCGTTGGTTGTGTGATAATTTAATAACAAGAACTTCAAATTTTATCATGCCATTCAGATATAGAAAGATTCCATGTTATATTTAAATGACATAGTATAATTGCGTAAAATTTAAACTTAATTATATTTTGTTCTATATTGTTATATTTAAATGACATGATATATTTTGGATAAAATTTAAACTCAATTATATTTTAAATATTTACATAATAAATTTTTTAAAATTTCTCTAAAATATTAAATTATTTTTTAAAATCTTTAATAAATAATTATAAATATAATTTTAATTTTAATTATTAAGAATTTAATTTAATTTTATAAATTAATTAGATAAAAATAATAATAAACTCAATAACTACCCTTTTATATTTCCATTCTAAATTGGTTTGAGAATTTTAATTGTATAATAATTTAAATTCAAATTTAATTATATCTTATTATGTTATATAAATGAAATTAGTGCTTGTTCATTTTACTTCCTAAAAATTAAGACGAAAATTATTCGAAATTATGTCGTTTGAGTAAAGCATGACAAAAAAGGACAAAAAGCACAATAATTCATGTTTTAGAAATATGATATTTTAACTTTTTCAATAGGTATTTATTTAAATAACTTAGTTTTGGAATATTATTCCTCCTAATATTTAAGAGATAAGGTAGATAAGCATTATTTTCTATATAAATAGTTATAATTTTCAATAAATCTCAAATAAATTTTAAATAAGCTTTTTAAAATTTCAATAAATGCACAATAGATCTCTTAAAAAAAATTCACTAAGAAAGTTAAAGCTCAATTAAATTAAATCAATACACTTTTAAATTTTTTTATGATAATAAATTAATATTTATTTGAAATAATTTTTATATTTTTAATTAAAAATTAATTTTTATTGTGAATTAATATTATTATATTTAGTAGTTATTAAAAAAATGCAATATGCTTGGTTTTAGACCCTAGTATGGTTTTTAAAAAAATTCTAATATAAAATTATTATCCTTTTAATTTTAGTAAAATATATATTTTCTTTTCTTATATTGTATATATTTTCAATAATAATTGAACTATACAATAGATAATAACTTTTATTATTCTCAAATTTCATCTTATTTGTTTTAAAATTCAAATTTAAAATCTTGGTAAAATAGAAACACCAACAACAAAGTTTTAATCCTCTTTTGAAGACATTTCCAAGTCTTTAACTTATAATTTTCTATCCACCTCCTAATTCACATTGGACAATGAAGAACAATAATTCAACAGTAATTGGTACACATTCTAATTTAATATATTATATAACATATTTATTAAAATATTATTATTTTTAGTTTAAAATTAAAAATAAATAAACTTAAAAATACACTTATATATAATGTAAGATTCAACTGTATTTATATTATATTTTAATAATTAAATTAAGATGAATGCTAAAAAATGTTAAACTAAATATGTAGCAATTATTTTATTAATTAAAAGTTTGTCTATTTGAATATGAAAGCTACCAAATTCAGCAGAGCATATAAATTCCAAGCTAACTACTGTCTTCATCAAGTACACGGGTTTTCTTCTAATAATCATCAATAATATATGTCTTTTTATTTCCAACAGAAAAAAATAACCACCGAACTATTTAGGTCGTTAACATATGTAGCAATTATTTTATTAATTAAAAGTTTGTCTATTTGAATATGAAAGCTACCAAATTCAGCAGAGCATATAAATTCCAAGCTAACTACTGTCTTCATCAAGTACACGGGTTTTCTTCTAATAATCATCAATAATATATGTCTTTTTATTTCCAACAGAAAAAAATAACCACCGAACTATTTAGGTCGTTAACATATGTAGCAATTATTTTATTAATTAAAAGTTTGTCTATTTGAATATGAAAGCTACCAAATTCAGCAGAGCATATAAATTCCAAGCTAACTACTGTCTTCATCAAGTACACGGGTTTTCTTCTAATAATCATCAATAATATATGTCCCTATTATTTTTTGGTCTTCATTGGCGGCATTAAATATTTAATTCTCATACCTTATTGCCTACCCAAAAACCCTTTATTTTTATCATCTTTAATTATTCATTATTAATTTTACGTAACACACACTCCACATATCATAAACCTATAAGAATTAATCTGTAATAACTTCAAATATATTATATAATAATAATTCCAATTGAAGCAATATATCATTTTCCTTACATATACCATCCAATATTGCAAGCAACCCAACCAGAAATCTATATAGGATATACCCTTGCTGCCATTGTTGTAAGTTGTACCAAGAATTAATTTTCTTTCAATTCTCTATTCCTTATCCAACAATTTATAAGAGGTAGTGCCTAAGAAAAAAAAAGACAGTTTAGAGGATAAGATTCACACCAAACTTTCTAGAATCACATTATGTGATTATTCACTTAATCAAAGATTCATTAAAAATTTTAGAACATTTACTCTTTCTCTTTTAAATCTTTTGAATTGTACAATAAAAAATAATTTTCTCTCATCTTATAATTCACATTTTATTCAAATATCATAAGACTCTAACTCAGAATCTCTTATCTTTTACAATATTTACTTAAAATAATAAAACAAAACATTAATCAATCTAGGATTAAAATATGGTATGAGGAAGATTAATTTAAACTTCCATGCTAGAGCCCGATGGACAAACAAGTTAAACCCTACCCTTTTTTTTCTTGTGATTTAACGATTGGATTATAAGTTTCACCAAAAACCAATAACAGATAGTTTGTTCACGGGTCACTTGTAGTTCCATCATTGAAAAAGGAGTTAGTTTAGAAAGGGGATTAGTGTCCAAATAGGTCATGATAAGCAAAAGCACAAACAAAGAAAAAGCCTAACTTCTTGACAAAGCCAACTCAACTGCTTCTTTTGGAGATAACTCAAGAATTAGATGACGTCCAAAGTTTTGTTCATTTTCTACTTTACGTTTAATCATGTTTGGGTGGGAATTGTGGGGGTGTCTATAAACATACAAACTCAATTAATAACCTACTCCCTCTATTCTTCTTTTAGTTGTTTCAAACTTGTAACTTTATATAAATGAATTTGATAATGATTTTATATAATAAATAGATGATAATTGAAAATATTTTTCTTTTTACACATAATTTTTGTTAAGGATTTTTATTTAGGTAAAAAAAAAATTTCAATTATCATTTATTTACTATATAAAATCATTTGATCAAATTTTATATAAAAATCAAATTAAACAACTAAATCTAACTTAGGGAGAGTAATAATATGTTATTGAAAAGTGATTGTCACTTAGGAGTCCTTATATCTAAAACTTCATTTTTGGTAATTCAAGCCGCTTAGACAAGGGTGATTTATTATTTTTGTGATTAAATTTGTTTTTTTTTTTTATGGAAAATTTTGTTTTTATTTAAGTCTCGAACTATAAAAATGATGATGATTTTTTTTTATTCACTCTACAATCCAATCAAAAGGAAGTCATCTATTTTAAAATTAAAAACTTTACAAAAAATTTCCTCCAAAGAAAATGTTTTGGATGAAATCTTAACCAAGCACTAACCCCATAAATTAATAAAATAAAGAGTTTTAGCATCATTCTTTTTAACACTTTCTTTTAAATACTCATATCATTAGAATATATGATACATAACATTTACGTAATTGTTTAAAATTTTTAATTTTAAATATGTTAATATTTAATTCTTTTATTAATGACCAATCACACAAGTCGTATGCATCATGCAACCTAGTAATTAGAAGAGTGTCAAAAAGAGAGCATTAGTTGGAGAGAGTATCACTAACAGTCCTCTTATATTAACTATAATATTCAAATTAGGGCTTTACATGTTGGCTCCTTAGCCTCCTTAGGACGTTGTTGGGAAGACCTTGGCAGCGTTGAGCAGGGAGGGTTTTGTTTACAGTGCTAAGGCCACAGATTACACGAGACTGGGGAATAAATACACATGGGAACCCTGTAAAGTTCACTTCACTTTCTCATTCTTAGTTCTTACAAAGCACCGAATAAAATTCGAGATAAACGCTACACACAATAGCGTCTCAGCAATTATAAAGTAAATCCTAAGTACCATAAACATTAAATATGTTCGGTTTGAGCGAGGGGTGAAGAAGGGTAAAAAAAATTTTATTTAGTTAACAAACAATTTAGAAGGGAGGGGAAGTTTATCCAAATAAGGGAATAGGGGGAGGGGAGAGGAGAGGAATCGTCTCATTCATTTTCAAATCAAATATACATTACAAGTTTAATTATAATATTGTTCTAAAATAATTATTCTTTTTTAATTTTAAATTTGTCCTTAATTAATTATCATTTTTTCATTTTAAAGTATTTTTTTACTTTAATCATATTTTTGTCCATTTACTTTAGTTATATCATATAACAAAAAGTCTCTCCTTATTTTTTATTTTTTTTAAGAATAATATAAATAAATATTTAAATTATCTTCAAATATTTAAATTAAAAAATTTTAAAAATAAATATTTTAATAGAGTTGAAATATTTTTTAACTAAATTTTTTTATATTCAAAAATTATATTGAATCTCAATTAATTCAAAATCAAATTATATTAGACCTTTATTAAAAAAACTCTTCCAATACATACTTTTTTATTTACAAAATTTAAATTCAAAATTTAAATTAAAAAATTAAATTTCTTTCACTTAAAACTAATATTTTTTTTTACTAACCCCCAATATCCAAAAAACACATTGACCCCTAACTAATATATAGTCGAGTCGGATTAGATTTCATATAAAAAAAACTCTTCCAACATTTATTTTTTTATTTACAAAACTCAAATTTAAAATTTTATTTTAATAAAATTAAATTCCTTCTAATCCAATTAATAGGTTATTTAGTATTTAAAACTAATAACTCGCTGCCCAAAAATAGAATATCTGATTGTCAGCTTTTCAAATAGTCAGGTTCAGACCTCAAAAGGCAACAGTCGTTTACTTTTGGGAGAAGCTGTGTATAAAAGCAGCGCCACAGTCACAGTAAAGAAAACGGTGCACATCAATAAACCGACTTGCCTATCAATAACCGAACTAAAACAGTTCGTTAATGACTTGAATGGTTAAGCCAGTTATCGGATAGGTTTTTTTGGGCCGAAACAGTTATCGGATAATTTACTTTCATTTTTCATATTAAATGATAAATTATATAATAAAAAATGATCATATCTTTTTTAAAATCTTTTTTACTCATTTTAAAATTTAAATTTAAAATCTTAATATAAAATTTCAAGTTAATTTATCTATATTTCAATTAAGAAAAAGTAAAAAATTAAATGATTCTAATGTTAAAAATATTAAATTTTTTTATAAAATTGTTTAAATATTTTTAAATAATTTGATTAAGAATTTTGATATTTTAATTACCAAAATGTGTTTGATTTATCATAATCCCTTTCAACCAAACAAATTGACAGTTCTATTCCAGTCAATTAATAGTGGATTATATATTGGTTAATTGACTGTTGATTATTATTTTTTATTGATTAATTTGGCCCATTTGGTTAAGTCGAGTTTTCAAACTACCCATGACTAAACATGACATTGGTTACGTTCACGGCTAACCAACAACCACCGATCAACCTAATTGATCAATCGATTAATGTCGATCTAATTGGTTAACCAATTATTCTATATGCCAACTTCTGCTCACCATCAAAGCACGTTAACTTTTGCATAGGGTACCAAACCCATCAAGCCCCCTCAGCCTCAAAAGATAGGATGTCCCTATCAAATATTAGAATAGGAAACCAACAAGGGATTGGATCAAGTGGTAAGCGGTTTGTTCCAGTTTAAGCAAGGTCTCGAATTCGAGACCTTGTGAATGTAGCAGCCCCCGCTGGGAGACTCACCCACCATTACCAAGTGCGAGACGCAGATCGGATCCGGATTAATCGGGGCGAAGCCTCGGATACTGAGCGGAAAAATCAAAAAAAAAAAAATGAGAATAGGAAAGGTTCCATCATGGGCTACAATCCTACAACCCTAAATCCCATATAATATGATTAGTCGAGTCAAAGGAATCAAAGGTTCTATTTATTATTAAAAAAAAAAAAAAACAACTAGAAAGCAAAGGATATGCCACCAAACGTAGAGCACCAATCACCTTGTGTGGTTGTGCGTGCATTAATTTTTTTTTTTTACCCATTCTTGCACAGAAGCAAAGCCATCAACGAGAAAGGGACAAATCAAAGAGGAGAGGCGAGAGGAATTGAGGATTCACCAAAAATGGGTAGAAAAAGGTTGGGAGGAAATGACATATGCCTCTTTTGCTCCTTTGCTTCATTTCTCATTCACCTGAAACTGGTTAGATATCATGGCCTTCTATTGGGAAAACAACAGACTGATTAGGCAGAAAGAAATCACCATTCATTACTAGCTAACAACATGACGAACCAACTAATTCCACACAGGGTACAAAGGCATTGAGAGCGAAAATTTCCTTAACTACAAAATTTGGGCATCCTGTATGCACGAACTAAAGTTTACACCTTGATGAGTGAAATAACCAAAGCAAGCAAAACATTATACACGGAATTTATACCATTACCTTAACCTGGTGCAAATTTTGTTGAATGATAGATGTAGTTGGTAATCAATGCCAGCAAATTGGTTCAAGAGATAAAGTCCAGGCTGGCTATGGATCATCATCATAAGGAATAATTGAGGCTAGTGACGGTGGAAGAATCACAATGGGCTGTCCATTATGTTTGAATTCGGCAAACATGGAAGCATGATTTGTATGGATTAAAAGACTCCCCGACAAGTCCAAATGCTTAAGATGAGCTACAGAAAAAAAATATATTCTTAATATACACATTATAGTAAAATAATCAATAGAATCAATGTCAAAAGGCATTTGATACGACAAGGAAATAAATACTATTCCATTTGTGCATTTGACTCTTATGTTACCATGATTTTAAATTGTGCAAGGCTGTATGCCTGCTCTAGTTTGAGATGTAAAGATTTTACAAATTGGGTGGCAACTATCTAGTAGTGTCTCCAAAGATGAAGGGAAACAAGTCAAATAATTTGTTAATGATAAATATGAATTTAAAGACTAGGCATTATATTGGCCTAAAAAGTCAAGGTGTAAAAATAATACCTCTTTTCTCTTTCAGGGTAGAGTACATCAAGGTCAGGGAATCATCACGCATGAAATTATGTGCTGCATTGACTCTAACAAGCACCGGAGCACATGAAATGAGCTTGGACAAAAATCTTGCAGTTGCAATCCCACCACGATTTTTGCTATTACAGATGTATAAAAATGTTAATTTATATACCATCAACAATGAACATAAATAAGTTAAACAATATTGGGGGTATCAATCCAACCTTATGTTTATTTCAACCAGCTTTAAGTTTTCCACGAGAACTTCATACAGTTTCTCAAAGCCAGATGGACCAAGTCCAATATCTTCAATATTCAGCACTTGGATATTACTCAAAAATCTTCCCAAAGCTGGTGCTACACCACTGTAGGAAAACAATTACAAACCTGATTCTCATCAAAGGATAAACACAAATGATGTTAACTTCCATCACATTGATATAAAGACAAACCTGTAAAGACAATTATGAGCGATAGACAGTGAATTTAACGGTCTTTCAAATTCTGATATGGTATTTAAAAGTTGCTCCACTCCAACGCTGGAAATCTCAGAGTCTTCCAACTCTAAACAAACCAATGGTGTGCCTCTTCCAGAAACTTCAACAAAATAAGGGATTAACCTACTGTAGAATTCAATGGCAAGTTGTAAGACATCACTTCCGTCTTCAACACATATGAGAAAATTGATGTGAGAATCAATGTAGCTGACCTTATTCCTTCATCACCAAAGGGATTTTCACTTATATCAAGAATCTCCAAACTAGGCATACGTATCAATGCATATCTAAGATCGTCAGCATCTTCTTTGTGCAGATTATTTCCCCTAAAAAATATGAAGCCATGATCATAGAGCACATATGTTGTTTTAAAGAAAAGGAGAATCACTCCAGGGTATTAGCTGGATTTTTACATCTGTTCACATTCCTAAACACCTTATTTCTTGGATGGTGAAAATAAAACCATGGTCATGGTCAGTTTAGTGATATTGTTGTGAATTAATTTTAGGGTATGGCAAATTACATGAAGATTGATGATAAATCCATAATAATGTACCTTAGATTGAGAACACGTAATGACTGCAAAGAGTTCACTATTCCTGAAGATGACAGAAAGCCACTTGATCGCCGGTTGAAACCTGATAGCCATCCTGTTATCTACAGGATTACGTATTAGACTTTACAATGGCTAAGTCAATTGCTAAAGAAATAAACAATAAAAGAAAAAAAAATCTAAACCAACTTTATCACTCACATAATTTTCTGAAAGGTTAAGGATTGACAGGTCAGAGGAAGCCTCCAGCAAGGCAGTGAAAATGATTTGTGCAGAACTCGAATTTAAATTGTTGTCTTGGAGTTTTAATGAAGACAAGGACCTAAGGTCAAAGGATTGGCAAGTCAAAGGAGGCCTTAGAATGATGAAACTGAATTGCCAGGAATGCAAATGACCAGAGAACAATGGAAAATGATATTCAAGTATAAATTACAATCATTAGTTTTTGCTAGAAAGCCCCATATCATATTAGTCATTGGTCCAAATTCCCCTAGAAGTATAGCAGTAGATGACCCTTGTATGAGACAAATAACTTACAGATAGACCAAATAAAACCTCCTGTTTATTCCCACTCATGAGGTTCTCAATTCTTAGTTGCAAACTGGACAAGCCAAGCTTTTGAAATCTACGTGAAAAATAACAACTCTATCCTAGAGTAAACATTATCGCAGTAGACTTTCATCTAAATGGCAAGAGTAATAGAAACACCCAGCCTCTCAAGGCGTAGTTGGACTTTTGCAGCTTCTATTCAAAGCTGTGATTGCCTATCCAAGCAAAGCTTGATGGAATGACATTTAAAGTAAAAATACTTCCTTTGAAGACAAGTCACCTAAACTAATTTGATGTAGCAGCACTAACACTGTGCAGATACTTTGTGGGCCCTTATCTACAGCTTCATCTTGAAGTAGTAACACATTCAGAACTAGTTCTTTTGGAAAAAGTTTAGGAGTTGATAAGCGACAACCCAACTCAAGCAATTAATCTTCAAATCAGTATAATCAGAACTCATTGAGACCAACATTCAAAAAAGATAAGGAACATACCGTCCTGACATCAGAAAGGAAGCAAATGCATGGGCAGAGGAGGCTGGAGTTGTTTCAAGAAACCTTGATGACCTAATTGAGAGGTGTTGTATTTGGTGTTTTTCCAAACTCCTGATCAGCAGGGAGCTACAAATTGCATTAACAGAATTGGGGCAAAGCATGCAGTGTAAAAATTCAATTGACTTCAATGTTTCACGGTTCTGGCTCAAAAGTTTGCATAATCTATTAACCTGTCAAATCATAAGTATTCATTCAAAAAATATTTTAAATAGAACAATTAGGAAATATGAAGTCCTTCAGCTCCGCTGAGAACGACCATAATGAACCATAAAATAATCAAACCATTATATCACTATTCTCATTTGATGCACCAAGCTTACATGTTCCTCAGATCTGATCCGATGTACTTCCAAGCTTTGCAACTTGCAGTTCGTCAATAATTGCTACAGTATGTACAACAAGGTACAACATAATCAGCCTTCAAGTTAGAACATGCAGATACTCTCTACTTGAACATATCAATTTACTAAGATCGCATGATTAGATTCAGAGAGTGGAGCATTCTGGCACAGGAAAATAAGATGTAAAAATAACAACTCTCTCATACATTAAAAATGTTCACAAATTGTGAACCTATAAGCAATTCATATTGCTACTAACAACAGTGTTCTTCAATTGCTAGGGCTAAAAACTTACAGAAGATTCTTGAATGTTGAGCACATTATGAAGTCTCAAACATCTGGACAACAAGAAAAACATATAAGTCTCAAGAAAAAATATTGATAAGAAAAATGAGGTTGACAAAGTAACAAATACTAGAAAGAAAATAAAAAGCAGACTTACTAGGGAAAATTGCAACAAAACATAAAAGTGCATAATTTACCAGGGGAAAATGCAACAAAACATAACACTGCTTAAAATATCAATTGGATGGTTTAATATGATTTCAGACAAGAAAATCTGCAATTAAACTTTCAGAAAAAGTAAATGCCTTGTGGAAACAGAAATACCATGCATAAAGGTAGAATCGTCTCCCTCCCCCCCCCCCCCAAAAAAAAAAAAGAAAAAAGAAAAAAAGAAAAACTATGGTACAGAAGGCAAAGGAACATGCATTGTGTCTTAAAGTACACATTAGTGGCCACAGAAATTACCTAGCATAGCTTCCAAATTGCTGACAGTGAAATGATAATTTCGAAACATCACAAGTTGAAACAAGCAGGCTTTCTTCATGAAAAATATGTTTCAGAATATTGTCTGCACAGAGCAAGAAGAGAAGAACAGTCCAATTAGAACTTTGAAACTATCACTAGAAAGTGCAGAAAGATAGAAAAGCAAAAGAAAATGAAAAACCCACATAGAAACATTAAAAATAAAGTTTTTTGTATTTTTCTTGGGTGACTTGAGTGGGGATAGGAGGATTAGATTAAATGAGGAATTGAGAAAAAGAATCCATGATCAGTTAATGATAAGATTAGCATTTCTATTTGGGGGGAGGGGGAAGTGAGAGGAATGGGAAGTGACTAAGACAAAATTATGGGAATAAATGAGTATTTAATTAATACAAGTTGAGTTGGGAAGCTTGCAATGTGCTTCCAAAGCTCTCCCTCATAGACTTGCATCTCAAAGTACTTGATGACCAGAATCATTGATCATTATCATTAATTTTTTTTTCTGTGATAATCGAACAAATTGTTCTTCAAATACTATCATATTGACATATGCGTCAGGATAAATTGTTTGAATTATCATATTTAAAAAAACTGCAGAGCAATGCCATGTATGAGAAACAAATTTTTATCACATAGAAAAGCTACAAAACATGACTGGAAGATGCATCTGGACCCACACAAGTTAGGTAGAATTTCAAAACACAACTATTAGAGAAGACTAGTAAGCATGCATAAGAATACCTGAAACCTTTATCTCACCAACGCATCCACAGAATGAAGGGAGCATAGCTAACTCTAGTGCTTCATCTAGGCAACTATTTTTCAGGTCATGCAGCAAAAATAATAATATCAAGAGATGAAGTTATGAAAAGAACAGTAAGCAATAACATATGAAGTTATGAAAAGAACAGTAAGCAACAACATTCTTATGTAATTGAATAAGCATACTCCTGCAAATGTGTTTCCCAGTAAATCTGCTGCCAATTATCTGTTTGGACACAATTGATCCTTTCAGGCCAACGCAACATGAATAATGCCTTCCATGATGCATTAAAGTCCATTTTTCTGCAAGAAAGCCCATAATATTAATCATATTTAGTTATCTTTCTGTTTTAATCATGTTTTCCACATTAGATTAAAAAATCATGGCAAATAGAAAGGGTGAAAGATGAAAAACAGTTCAATCTAACAAACCTTCTGCGTTTTCTTTCTTGGTAGTGATCACTAGTAGAATCATCATTAGAGTTCATAACTCTCCTAAACCAAGTAAAATTAAAAAGAAAAAAAAAAAAAAAGAAACCCAAGATTAATAAATATTCAAGAAAAGGTACTAAACTATTAGAAGTCATAAAAAATCTTAGTCATTGATAACAATATCATACCAACCTAGTAATTTTATAAGTTCTTTTTATTTAATCCCCTCATATTCCATAATCATAACCATTTCCGAGCATGCCATACACATGAAATACACAGACCCATTCAGCAATATCACTGTATATAAAATTAGAAGCAAAATTGTAGGGATAACTAAAATAATATTCACTCACATTTCAGTTTGTAACTTCTCCAAGCCCCACGGAGGTAGGCATGCTACTAAGGAATCAAACAATTCTGGGGGAAGTTCATACACATACGATGGAAGTTCATTTCCTGAAACCAACACAATGACTAAATAAAAACGAATTCCTATTGCGAAAGATAGAGCTTTTATCTCGTGATGATTAAGGTAGAACAATGATCGAAAGGGCTTACCGAGAAGAAGAAGCTCTCTCCTAATTGACTGAATGCAGAAATGCACCAAGGAAGGAACTTCCGCCATTTTCCCTTCCACTCTGCATAGGAAGCTCTGTAGCAAAAATTAAAGAGAATTGGGGATTTCTGTCGGGGATTTCTTTTGAGCAATAACGCCGTCGTTTAAGAGAACTGTTTCTTTGCCGCGGTGAATTTGGCGGCTCTGAAAACCCTCTTTTATATATACAAGCGCATATAGAGGCAGGCAAGGAGGTTGGGTCCATGGGGCACAGAGAGAGGATAGAATTTTTAGTACATAGTCGTTACTCCAGTTGCTGCACTAACACCAGCTTCTCCAAATATTAACTAAAGCAGTCACTCCAATATTGACCACCCTATTTACAAAAACAGGATGTACAATAAATTACACAGCAAAGTTGGACAGACAAACAAAACTGGATTAGTGAAGTGAATAGTATCAAGGAAAGCCGTGCCACTGGCCTGACCAATGACACAGCAAATGGCATTAGCCAAATAATTTTAGTTTGCTAGCAGTCATCAGCTAAGTAGAAAAGAGTTAAATAGCAACATAGACCATGGAGTTTTAAAGAGAAAGTTAAAGTTTTTCAACAAAGTTTTGGTTGCAAGTTCAAGAAGAACATGAAAACTTAGGGCCTGTTTGGTGTGGCTGGTGAGAGCTTTAGCTTTTTGAGTACTGTTATGAGTGATAAGTTTAAATTTTTATTGGAGGGAAAATAGAGCTTTAGATTTTAGAAAGGTGAAAAAGTAAGTGAAAAGTAAGTGAAAAATAAGTAAAAAGAGAGTTTATGGAAAGTTTGGATTTGAAGCTTTTGAGCTTTTACTGTTTAAGAGCTTTTTGAGGTTAAAAAAATATTTAAAAGTATAAGTTTTTAAGAGGGAAATTTAAATTCATGAGACATGAATAGTGTGCAAAATCTGAAGCTCCTAGGAGCTGCACCAAACATGCTCTTAAATGGAAAACTTACCACAAATCTAGCCACCTCTGTGGGATTGTGAACAGCTATACTTTTTGGAGTGATCTCAGTAAGAAGCAAAATAGCAACCTAGGATCATTCAGAAAAAATTCAATGATTATGATTTCTTTCTATCTTTTATGTTCATTTTTCATTTTTCTTTTTTTCAAAAAGGTAAGCTTTTCCATTTGCATGAAAACAAAATATCTACAATAATCACCCAGGCATACCTGGGTTTAACATATTACCTAATACTCAAAATTGCAATGGCAAAAAGTAAGAAATTCATTTTTTTTCTTCTTTATTTAACAAAAGTGTTATGCCTTTCAGTGTGCACAAATACATATAGACTAGAAACAAATTCATTTAGAAGAACAGGAAACAAAAAGTATAAGAAGATCCAAGATCATTTGTCGTTGCTCTGTAGGATAGCTACATATTAATAATTTCATAAGTGAGCTGAAGAAAAAACAGAGAAAGGGAAAAAAAACCAATGGTAAAAATGGAAAACCACTCTTGAAGGAAATAAGCTAAGCCTGTCATGTACGATATACAAGACATTGTTTTGATTTTCTAGCAAAATATCAACTCCTTTACTAATAATATAAAGAGAGAAATATATGCAAATTAATCTACTGTATAAAGAATGATTGGTGCCCAAAGGTTTGGATACCCACAATATCAAAAAAATAAAATAAAACAAACAAAATAAAGAATGACCAACATGCAAGAGTTGAAATGCAAGTATCCATGTCATAGAAAGTCCTAGAGCCACCTAAAATACCAAATCTCGAACTCAAAGACCCTATGGTCACAAAAGATTCAGCTCATTTACCATTACCACCTTCACATTGTCATAATAAGAGGGAGAGGGAGAGGGAAAAAGGAAAAAAAATGA